GATAGACGGCGAGGGAGGAAAAGAAACCGGAAGACAGAGACTGATGTTCTTCTGTTTCACAACTTCTACTTGAAACTATATGTGTTGCTGCAAAAAATGATCAGGATTTAAGCCACTGTGAAAATTTTGTGACCATTCTTATAGCGCAGCTGCACTAAAACAAGCATTTGCTCAGATTATACTCGCCTGTGTTCATAATCAGTATTGCTTGTTAATTTTTAGCTACTCAGAAATTCTACTGTTTCAAAACCCTCTTCTTAAGGAAATTAACAGAAATAGAAGCAGCCTGGTGAGTGGATAGTTCCCTTTTTAATCCAATCGGCCAGGAATAGGCACAACTAGGTAGTTGTGCCTATTCCTATGCCTATTCCTTCCATTGAACTTCATTCAATAGAAGTTACCTGAAAGGGACTGATTTACTTTTTTTTCCACCAAAACAAAATCCTGCAGAAATAACATGTAATGTACTTTTTTTTCTGGAAATGGCTCCCTTACTTTCTTGTAAGACTAGCACGGGTAATGCCTTCAGCACGTTCCAGCAAATGCCTTGCCTTCCCAAGTTTCAGCAGGAGAAAACTAATTTCATGATGTAGCTATGATTTGTAGCTATGATTTCTTAGCAGAGGCAAAAGAGTTAGAAATTCAAAACCTTAAACTATCTTTTAATCTTCAGAGACTAAAGGTTTGGGAAGGCTAGCATGCGCATGTATGTCTCATTAAATTAGAATGTTATTGAAATGTTTATTTATTAAGATAAATAACTTAAAATATTGAAACTTAACAGAGTCTTATTACACCCAGCAATACACATAAAATCTTAATTTCTATTTATCCTCAGTGTACGGCTTACAGTTAATGTAAACCCGAAAGTTTGAATGTTACAAAATAGAAATAAAACAATGTATAACATATGACAGGAATGTGAGCCAACTAAGAAACATGTATATGTACTGGACTGTATTTACTCAATACTTAGTCACTGGGTCTTGCATTACATGAAGGCAATCAGCTTGTGGTTCTTCTGAAGTGTAAGAAAGTCTAATTTGCTTTAATAGCAGCCTTCAATTTGTCTATATTAGTGGTTCTGGTGTCTCAACTCTTCTACTTGACAATAACACACAGGTTCTCAGTAGAGTTCCCATCTCAGGCAAGTTTGCTGGCTAAACAAGCACAGTCATACCATAGTCATTAAGCCCCAGGCGTGGTAGTTTTGGCAGCGTTGTCAGCTGCCAGATCCTGTTGGAAAATGAAATCAGCATCACTGTTAAGCTTGTCAGTAGAGGGAAACATGAACTGGTATAAATTGTTCTTGTGGAAAGCTGCGCTGACTTTGGATGTGAAAAAAACACAGTGGTCTTAGAACAGCAGATGAAGCTTTCACTTATTGTAGAAACTTCATTCTGAAGTTCAAGGAATTTGGGTTCTGTGCCCCTTCACTCTTCCTCCATGCTCTGGGTCTTTAATTTCTAAATGATAATAATATAATGCAAATTGACCTTTAATCTAAAAAAAGGGCATTGTAACTCTGACCATCCTATGCTACTTCATGACAACCAGACCATCTTCATTTGAAAGATTTCTTCCTTTCCTTATCTCGATTTGTGATCGTAAGCAGTAAGAGATAACATTTTTATCTCATCTTGAAGCAATGAATCTCTTGTCTCTGACTGTCACAGTTTACAGCTGCTCAGAAACGTGACTGAGTAAAAAAAAAACTAACTCTGTGGCATCACTCCAGTTGCAGTGCCATGGTATCGTATCCTCCAGAGTGGCTTACAAGAAGTGTTGCAAACACGTGATATAAAAAAGAGGTAATTTGAGATAAACTGATCCATTCATTTCTGTTAGCTATTTAACATTCAAAGCTCACATTCAAATTAAAACTTTTTATTTTAAAGTTTGAAAGTGCTAAATCTGGACATAGGAAGAAGTTGAGTGAAGAAATCCCTCAACTCTGTCCGCTTCTTTCAGAACCATATGCTACCAGCTTAACTCAGTGCCAAGGAAAATCTTGCAAAACTCACACATCAGCAAAGTTATTGCAGTGTTTGTATCAGCAGTGGAGTGACAATCTGGAGGCAGCGCACCATATTGCACGAGCACCATCACTGCATGCTGAGTGCCGCTGCCAAGAGCTGCCATCTGGCAGGTGAGCTGCACTCTTTCCACTTGTTCCTTTTCTTCCACTTACCTCTCTCCACCACAGTTTGTCACCACCTCTTTCTTTCATCTTCTTCCTCTCTGTTTTAGCCTTCATAGCTCCTCTTTTCTCTCTCTAACTCTACTTGTTACTCCGTCTTAGTCTCCTGAGTACATGTGAGGTTTATGTCTGCATTAAGCTCCCTTCAGGCCTGGATAAAACATTAAAACAAGGAGAAGCGCAAAGATTAAAATCGAATAAAGGTAGCACAACAGCGTATAAGTTGTGAACTGCAGTTTCACCGTATTTCTTCCATCCTATGTGTATGCAAAGACACATCAGGTGCAGGATATATCAGGGCTATATGTACAAGGGCACACACTGAGCTCTCAACATCACCTCTTTCCTCTGGCTTTTGAATCTGAACAGTCCACTTACATTACTGTCTCCATGAACATTCACAGTAAAGGAGGGTGGAAAGGGCGAGACTCAAAGTTAGGAGGTGGAGGGGGATCTCCAGCTACGGATGATAACACTGAGCCGCTGTGCACTGTGTAGTTGTGTTACATACACTAATGCATTGTTGCAGTGACCGTGCATCGCCTTTCCGCCTGACCCACATTTGCACTCCCTGTTCTTTAAATTACTCAAAAATCAATGTCACATATTCAACTGGTTGTTCAAATTAAGATTTTTTTTTTCTATGCAGAAGAACAGAAGAGTGTTCCTTCATCGTTCTTTCCCTCTCTCTTTCGATCCTCTCAAACCTACAGTAGCTCATTAATCTCTGCAGAGGTCTAAGATAACACTTAACTTCTCGCTTGTGGGTGAAAGTGACAGAGACAGATGTTCTAAATTACTTCACCTACACCGGTCCAGCGTTGCCTCCAGGGGTAAGAGACTCAACAATAATGCGGTTTCATCTGCAGTTCTTCTCAAAAATGCTCCAAAGAGCTCTGTTAAAGATGATCCCAAAGATCAATGGACAATTTATAAGCCCACTGTGTATAAAATCTTGCAATTGACTGAATTAGAAATTCTTGAGCATATCTTTACAACATGTGAAACACAGTAAAAACCTGTTTCCAACAGTGAATTAAAAATAACACTTTTTCTTCATTGCCTGACATTAAATCACACTAAACCTTTTTGTTTTTGGTCAGGTAAGATTTCCATTAAATGTTCTAAATACTAAAGTAATAAACAACATGTTTTAGGTAACTTTTTTATTTTTTGTTATAATGCTTACAAGCTCCCCCTTTTTCCTCTCCATGTAACAATATCCAATAACAAGAGCACTGCACTCAATATACATAATATCATTAGCTGATTGGACTGCAATAAATATTACCTCGTTATTTAAGTATATCTGAATTTAAATAAACTAATAAAAACATTGTTAGAGTGATTTTATGCCTTGAGACTTAATACAAAAGCCTTCTTTCTGACAACATCCCAGCATTGAATTATTTTATTCTCTCTGGTTATTTCTTAACGTCACTTCAACTGAACATGACAAATATAAATTAGTTGTTTTGAAACAGCAACTATTTTAAGCCTGAGTATCTAACCTGTGCCTATTCTGAAACCTAAAAGAATGAACTCAGCAGTAACTCAGCTTTTTAGAAATGACAATATTTCCTTGTGAATATATTCTTTACTGTTTTTCTTGTAAAGATTACTTCTTATTCCCACAAAAAAGGGGTTTTAACATCAGCATGTTTAATCATGAGGTTATAATTACCCCAGCAAAAGTCTCTGATATTTACTTCATAGTGAACAAAATAATTCATAACTTTTATTATTTGGTAAAAGTGGGGCTTTGTTGATCATCTAACTACTACATCACAGACCTAACCAAGGTTTAATTTGCTGTTATCAATGCAACAGAGAGAGAAAAGATAAAATGAATGTGAAGATTCATTTAAATCCTAAAATTAGCAGGCAACTGATAAAATGCTGAAGCACATGACAGGCGAGAGCATGCCAAGAGAGAAGCCAATTTTTTTTTTTTTCCTCTGTCTTTCTCTCTCTCCACAAGAGGCTTTACTCACTCTGGAGGGGCCAGGAGAATAAAAGCTAGTCCAACTGGCTGGCCAGATAAGCCAGACCAGAAAGAGCACACAGACAGAAGAGAGAGGTTCATCTGCTTTGTATGAGGGGTGAGAGTCAAAAAAAAAAAAAGATGGGAATCCAACTGCCTCCCCTCCTCACACTGTCTCTTCCACCAAACACACACAGGGACAGTCACATACGGGGGCTCGAACAAAGATGTACTTGGTCAACAGCATTGTCGAGGCTGGCACAGCTCACAGCTCTGTGCTCTTTAGGACTCAGCCTTCATCATCCCGGCTCCTGCCCCGGCTTATCAGCATCCCAGTGGCTTGCACTCTGCCCTGCCTGCCAAGGCTGCAGGAGGAGGAGATAGGGCAGCAGCAGCGGAGGGCTGACTGACTCTGTATCTCCAAGCTTAATACTTCACTCTATTTTTTCTCTCTCCTGATGACCACTGATCTGATGCGCTGCCTGGAATAATCCACACGCTTAGAGAAAAAAATCCTCACAAGCAGGCTGCTGCAGTCTTTGTCTAATACAGCTGAAGGAAATCTATCCCCTGATGGTGTCATTATTTTTCATCCGACCTGATGAAGAGTTGACCTACCTCTTGTCAGTTAATTTGATAGAAAATATTCACATTCTTCTAAGAACAACACCTGTCTTGTCACAGGTGGTCAGCAGAAATGTTTTTTTTAACAAGTGCACAGCCTCGTTTCCAGGTTCAAACGCTCCGTAAAGTCATGTAACTTTCGGCTTCTGCACAATGATGGGAGGGGAAAAAAGCAAAAGGTTAAATACTCACCTTGAAACAGCAGGAAACTCATTCATGAGTGGGGCAGAGTCGATAATTTCTTTGGGGTTTGAGCGCAGCGTCCGGCCACCACCTGTCCGTCAGAAGATCAGATATGAGCAGATGAATGAATTTATTCTAAGTGCTGACGCGCCGCGCAGCTTGGAAAGTCATCCGGACAACAGTGAGCATCTCCCGGTGATCCGCAGAGAAGGAAGCGGCATCGAATGACCCTCTCCTCTCGCTCAGGGACTGATCATTTTCTCCAACAGGCTGCCACGGTTTCTCTACTCTCTCCCTCCCTCTGTCTGCCTGTCCGTCTGTGTGAGAGTGGCTGTGAGCTTCACAGTGAGGATGCCGGTGATACATGAAGTCACCCATCAGTTCACTTGCACCTCACGTACGGTGTGCGTTTTTTTTCTTTCTTTTAGACCCAACCTCCAACGCGTCATCCAGTGGCCCAACACCAACCCTGTCCTATGGGCTACTACTGGATTTCATTACCTATGTAGCACAAACAAACTTATTATTCATTATGTTATTTAAAATAATAATTTTATATAAACATAGCAAAACATTTAATACATTTAGAAGCCTAAAAAGTTTTTATAAGACCAACTCGGTCTCAGATTAAATATGATCAGGCTTATTCATGGGGATGTGCCAAAGGATTACAGCATTGCTATTAGGCAGACGCATCTTCTCTGAAACAAAAGAAAATTACTTAGTAGCTCCGTATCTTAACCAAGTGTTAAGATACTAAAAAGACGCAGAAAATATATTGTAATTCTGTATATATCAACAGATATTCCTATATATTATTTTAAAACAGAAGACAAGATGAATGCACACTGCAGTTTAGTCAAATGACTTTTAAATACCGCCATCTGTAGGAAGCACAACGTAACTTCAACTCTTCTGCTCTTGAATCATCTGAGCTGTGAATGAAAAGCTTCTTTGGGGACGAATCTCGGGTATTTGAGGGGTAATTATTATTGTAAGAGACCAGAGCCGATGCTTCAGAGGGAGATGTATATTTTAAGAAATTATTTTGAAAAAAGGATAAGAAAAAATGGAACAGGAAAGAGATAAGTTAAACAATGGTGGGATATTCTGAAGGACTTGATCAATAGCACAATTCTGGATCAGCTGAAGCTTTCTGATTGACTTTTTAGGCAGACCTGTGAAGACACTGTTGTGGTAATCAATTTTAATAAAGATACAAATATGGATGAGTTTCTTAAGACCTTCTTGGGACATTAATTCTTGAATACTGGAAATGTTCTTGAGTGATAGAAGGCTAACTTTGCAATTGTCTTTATGTGCCTCTGAATATTCAGATCTGGGTACATCACTTTGTCCAAATTGTGACACACAATGAGGACCTTTGCATGATGCATGGATGTCTCTGCTTTTAATGAAAAGGGATTCAGCATGCCTCACAAGCACATACTCATTAAACTCACCACTTCCACAGAACTGCTTACCTAGCTAAAAAGCTCAGCAATCAGATCTTATTTGTGTATGTGTGCTGGGAGGAGGGATGCAGGGCCCACTGCCCAGTTATCCCTCCTCTTTTCATTTTTTGTGTTTGGTGGGCAGGAGATGAGTCAGAGATTTCAGACGGGCTACCTGTTTGGGGTCCATGCTTCCCCACGGCTCAACAGATGGGAGCCACCCCTCACTGGGACTCGGTCAGGCACAGGAGCGCTTGACCTGCTGTAATTTCCAGTCACTCACAAGCATACTACAGTTTGAAAGCAGGAAAGCCTGCAGACATACAAACAAACCCAAATGTTAAAATATATTCTCAGGAAAGAGTATGCACATGAAGCGTGTAGGCAACATGTCCACAGATGCATCCCCGGCATGCATTCCACAGCCCTAAAAGAGACATTTATCTTGTATATTTTTTGGATTAGTACTGTGATGTAATCCATTTTGAGACAGAGAATTGAATAAAATAGTTTACTGTATTTAGTCTAATTCAGGTTTTATCAGCATATCTATCCAGAAATAAATCCTCTGTTGTCTAGGTTCAACCTTAATGTGTAAGTTATTGTAAAATCATTACCAGCAGAGTGCTTATATGAAAGCAACGCAGTAACTGTGAGGATTTTTAGTGCTAGGGTTTTAACAGTGAGCATGTAACTGATTTGCCAGGAATTGTTATCTGCACCCCACGGGGGGGTTGCAGTTTTGAATTAGTTTTCAAACTCCTGTAATTGTTCCTTTAAGAGTGCCACTTGTACGGTCATAACTCTGAAGTGAATTCACGGATAACAAAAGCCACAGGTTGGCCACTCACAAAAACCACTCCAAGGAGGGCTGCCACACATGGCGGGAACACAATCTCTTAGAACAACCTTATTATGTCGTTGTAATTGGAACCCGCTTGTTGAATCTTAATTTCCAATGAAATTACTGCAAACAGATTTTTGATCCTGGTAAAAGGAAAGCTCCAAGCTCAAAATAAACTCACTGAAATTGCAACTTTTATTTTTTTATTTTTTATTTTTTGTTTGTCTTTGTTCTGGTTTATTTTAGGATTATTATTGCAGCACATGATGGGTCATGTAATTATTGCAAATAAGTATATATTTTTTTATCTTCCTGGCTTAATGAAATACTATATTTTCTTAAGGTTCAGTTTTTAACTTTAGGTAATGTATAACCTCCCAAAAAAAAACTCATACACATTCTATGCCCTCCATATTTGAACTATTCAGTTCCTCCAGAGTGAGTGAAGTCATCCTACAGATGTACTGTGTTTTACTCAAAGTGCAGCATTGTCAGCCATATTAGGTTTAATTTGCACCCTACAAGAAACAGACAAAAAACATTTCCAGAATGCTAAAATAAATTGTATGCAGTCCATATATATTTTTTATATCTAGTTAATTTGAAGTCTCTTTCTTGGTTTCCACTCACAGGGTCCTATTAGATTTACTTTTGCCATGCAAGGCATTGTTGAAAGTGCCCTTCTATTGAATTAGGGTAATCACAATCAGTTGCACTTTTGGGATAAAACATTGGCAATTACTTTTTTTCACTTTGTTCCAGTACAGCCACTATTCTTTTAGTGATGGAACAAGCTAAAGTATTGTCGAACTAATGAAGCACTGTTAAAAAAAAAAAAAATGTTTACAAATAAAAACCAGAAAATGTGGTTTAACTTAGTCTAGTACACTCTGATAAATCCAGTTGAATCCACTTTCAAATCAGCTTCAATATATCTATAAGTATATACATGTAAGTACCAATATACGTTACCAATAAAGATTAATCAAATGGCTCAATTATCTCCTGATGATATCAAACGTGCGATAATAATTCATTTGAATCACAGTGATACATGTAAAAGTTGTAAAACAGGAACTGTGAATGTTCGACTTGAGTTACTGGTTTAAGACCATGCTAATGTGTGTGTTAAAATTGCGCTATCTAAGATCAGATATAAATCCATTGAAGAATGCGTAGTAGTACTAACAGAATCTCGACATCCTTTCAGAATTTCAGCTTTGTTTTTATCAAGAATTTCTGTCGCTTGACCGGCAAATTTGGTAGACAATACCCCAAAAAACTTGCAACTTCAGAAAAACACAGATCTACTGTTTATTCACGGGAACAAATAGAGTACACTTTATAATTTTCAGGCTTTTATTTGTACAAAGAGAAAAGGAAAACCAGTATAATTTATGTACTGCTTTGCATCACACTTTTACGCAATTATAAAAGGTTTTCATAATGTGAACAAATGGAAAAAGATGTGTAAATACTTATAATAGATACTTTTGATGATGATTTAATCCCCATTGTGTGAACCCAGAATATACCATCAATAGGTTATGCTCCAAAATTTAAATAAAAAGCCAGTAACGTCTGTGCCTAATGTAATTTAGTAAAAAATACATTTTAAATTGGATATTTATTAACTCTTTTATGAGTAGACATTTTTATGAGACACAAATTACTTCTTCTGACTAATATATGGAAAATGAAACAGGTACCATTTTAACACCATAGATTCCCTAAGTACCATGAGATGAAAAGGTGGTATAGAGTAGATGAAATCTCTCTGGTCTTGTGTCAGAACAGACTTGTTCTGGATTATAATGATCCTATTTCTTGGATTCAGATGCTGTTCATCTGCTGAGATTTGGCCATACTTTTGTTTGTCCTCAGAAAGCCGGCAGCCACCATTTAAAAAAAGAAAGAAAAATCAAGGACGACTCCATACAAACACAGTTTAATGACATCAAAGTCACTTTATTTATTTGTTTTTTTTGCTTTTGCCATATCCTTTTCTTTATATATTATACTATCTGACTATTTTACTTTTTCATTTGACTGTGGCACAGTTTTATCAATCTAAAATCAGTAGAAGGAAACCAGCATGTGGCAGACATGAGAACTAATAGCTTTATAGTTTTCTCTTCATGTTCCAGAAAAAGGGATTTAAGCTGTCCTGAGGAGATCAAAACAGTGGAAACACTCCCTTACTCCAGTGCAGTTGTAAAACAGTCTCCAAATTTCATTATAAAACTAACAGTAAATCTTTATTCAACACTCAGTAAAACTGCAGTCTTTGCACACATGGAAATGAGACATGAAGGTCTAAAGAAACCCCAGCACCTGGGGGTAATCATTGCCACAGCTTCATCAACATTTGCAATTAGTTACTTTGGTAACAGCGGTGGTCATTCACACAGCCCCAGCGTGTCGTCATACATGATATTTAATTCGGCCATTGTTCTGATGTGTTCATTATGATTATTACGCTGTTGCTCCAGGCCTTTCTCACAGACAGGACCCAAGTGCAGCAGCCAGCGAGATGCAATCTACTTCATAAAAATTACCATAACAACACAAAGCTCTGGAAGCAAGAAAACAGGGGTGCATGCAAACTGAGCATCAATGAACGACGACCACAGGTCCAATCAAACTGTCATAACACTGAGAATAATAACAGCCAAAAGCCATTAAAACCATTCACTCTGAAGCATTAACACCTCAGTGTATAAAGAATAGGACTGAAAGGACCCTCATATTTCTCTCTATTTTGCCTAAACAGGCACATTTTACACATCTCACTTCCATCATCTCCAGATTTTAATAACACAATCATCTCTGGGAAGCTGCAACTGAAAAACAATCATTTATTCACTTTCGCTTGATTGTGTGTAGTTTCTCCTGAACATTTTAATTTCTGTTGAATCCATATGAACATTCAGAGGGAGATGTTTCGATTCAACAAAAGCCAGACTGAGTGTCATTTTTAGGTGAGAATTAGATGAGGTTGTTTTTATCCAACCACGTAGATGGGAACATAAATGAACTTCTGTTGTTTTGAAATTTGATTTGGG